ATGCTACTTGTGAGCTTTGTTGGGATTTCCTCAAAGAGAATAGGACGATGCAATACAGTAGAGATAAGTATTTCCCTCGGTTAAGAACCAAAGTTATCAATCCAATAGGAGAACCACGCGAAACCTCGTTAACATCACCTACACACCAAAGAGCAAATACTTCCACCCAACACGATCAAGGGGGTTGTCAATCCCCTCGGCGGTTATTTGCAAGGATCAAATTTCATAGTGGTAGGTAAATAGATAAATTGCAAAATAAAATAATGAAGGAAATATGCCCTAGAGGCAATAATAAAGTTGTTATTTTATATTTTCTTATATCATGATAAATTTTTATTATTCATGCTAGAATTGTATTAAATCGGAAACTTGATACATGTGTGGATACATAGACAAAACACCGTGTCCCTAGTAAGCCTTTACTAGACTAGCTCGTTAATCAAAGATGGTTAAGTTTCCGAACCATAAACATGTGTTGTCATTTGATGAACGGGATCACATCATTAGGAGAATGATGTGATGGACAAGACCCATCCGTTAGCTTAGCATATTGATCGTTCAGTTTTATTGCTATTGCTTTCTTCATGTCAAATACATATTCCTTCGACTATGAGATTATGCAACTCCCGAATACCGGAGGAATACCTTGTGTGCTATCAAACGTCACAACATAACTGGGTGATTATAAAGATGCACTACAGGTATCTCCTAAGGTGTTTGTTGGGTTGGCATAGACCGGTATTAGGATTTGTCACTCCGAATATCGGAGAGGTATCTTTGGGCCCTCTCGGTAATGCACATCATAAAAAGCCTTGCAAGCAAAGTGACTAATGAATTAGTTACAAGATGATGTATTACGGAACGAGTAAAGAGACTTGCCGGTGACACGATTGAACTAGGTATGTGGATACCGACGATCGAATCTCGGGCAAGTAACATACCGATGGACAACGGGAATAACATATGTTGTCATAACGGTTCAACCGATAAAGATCTTCGTAGAATATATAGGAGCCAATATGAGCATCTAGGTTCCGCTATTGGTTAGTGACCGGAGAGGTGTCTCGGTCATGTCTACGTAATCTCGAACCCGTAGGGTCCGCACGCTTAACGTTCGGTGACGATTTAGTATTATATGAGTTATATTATTTGGTGACCGAATGTTGTTCGGAGTCCCGGATGAGATCACAAACATGATAAGGACTCTTCAAATGGCCGAGAGGTAAAGATTGATATATAGAACGATAGTATTCGGACACCAAAAGTGTTCCGGAGGATATTAGGTACATATCGTGTCACCTGAAGGGGTTCCGGGCACCCCAACAAAGATATAGGCCTTATGGCCAAGAGAGGGATAGACCAGCCCACAAGGGGCTGGTGCGCCCCATATCTCTACTACTATTAAAAGAGCCAACAAGAAGGGGCAGAGGAAAACTGCCCTCCCTCCCACGATAAACAACACAATCGGGGCGACGACGCGTCTTCGGGAGAGGATGAGAGGAGAGGGGAGGACAAGGAGAGGCCTGGCGGCGGCTAGGGAGGTGCTCGCCGGCGAGCGGGCTCCGGCGGCCGCCTGGCGCGCGGAGTTGGATCGGGGCGCTTCCCCGCGGCCGCGACCGTACTCGCGACGCCACCTACCCCGCCGCCTGCCGCTCCTACCCACGGGACGCTACCGCTCCGCTCCTCCTCCCAACGCGACGCTGCCAGCCCCAAGAGCGCCCACCCCGTCGGCCCTTCCCGTCACCCGGTCGCTGCAGCAGTGCCCTCCTGATGGCCCTCGCCGGCCCTCCCCGCCGTCTCCGCGTCGTACACGCCGTCTCCCAATCCGCAGCCAGGGGACACGCCAGCGCGCTCCCGGTGGCCCTCGCCAACCCTCCCCGCAGTCTCCGCGTTGTACCCGCCGTCTCCCCAATCCTCAACCAGGGAACACGTCAAGAATCTTCAGTCACGCGGCCGCCGCGCCGGAGGTCTTCCATCTCAGGTTTGTTTTGTTTACGGTATTTCCAAAGTGATGTGCTGTTTCAACTTTTGTTCCAAAGCTCCTCAAATTGATGCAACCAAGGGTATGTCATGGATGAACGTTCTAGATTCTGAAGTTTATTGTCGTCGTTCTAACTTCATTTGTAATTTTTCAGCGATGCACATCTTTACTGTCGAGTTTATAGTCATCAAGCAGTCCTTAATTTTAAGATGATATCAACATTTATATTCCTGGTTATAGGGTGTTGTCAAGAATTTCATCACACCCACTACTTTCCCACCGAGGTAGTTTCCGCCTCCACTCTCCAGCCATGCACAAGTGTCGTCACCTACATCTCCTCTATGCGTTCCTGTCTCTCCATTCCGCACGAGGATGCAGTCATCACATCCTTGAGTAGGTAATTCATCAACTGATGGCTTTTCTCCCTGCTGTGACTTGCATCTTTCTACCTTGCTTCAAATTTAACCTGATTGGGACTGTTTGATTGAATGTCAAATAAAGATCAACTTTATCTCTGATTGATTCATGGAAGTGCAAGCTGAATTATATTATGAATATTCTGATTATTACTTACAAGTGATATTCTAACACACTGTCTTTGGTTTAATAGTTTGCAGGTGTTTCTTGTAGTGATGTTAACCCCATAAAAAAGGACTCGCAGGTGGACATCTGATATAAATAATCAGGTACTTCTCTCTCATTATCAAATTCAATGGATGTACTGGTTGTTTAAAACTGAACTATCAACACTTTATTCTCTTCTTTTCTCCTATCACATGATATATAACAAAGTATTTGATGCCATTTATTACCTTAATCCTGTCATAAGACAGTCTTATTTTCTGGTCATGGAATGAGAGATTGCACTGCTTATACAGGATATCTTTCAAGCCTTGCAATTTTTATTGACATATTTTATAAATGAGTTATAGGTAGTTGGAATTTTCACTGACATATTCTAATGGTATTCGGATTGCACTCTTGCTGCCTCTTGATTTTATATGCTTAGAGTAATATCCACCCATCATGTTCAAGCAATTTCTCTGGTGCTAAATCAATCCCAAAAAATGTCACCAATGTGTAAAAAAACAAAATGACTATGTTCTTTTAAGTTTCTTCTGAATATGATTGTTATCCCTATTTGTAGATTGTTGACACCCTGCCCTGTTACATGTACAGTGGAAGACTTCTCTTTTTGATTGACTCTGCATCTAAAGAAGAGTAAGCATGTAGAGGAATTGGTGGTCCACCTTGCTGCTGCAAATGGACTGCCCGATTTTATCCATGTGTTGGACTAGATGATATTTGATGATTTGAACCTTGCAACGGTACGGTTTCCACAACACTATGTATGATCTAAACAATGGCTGAAAATATTTATTGGAGCATTTGTTTCAAACAAATTTGTTGAAGATATTTCTAATATTTTAGTGCATTTGATATATTTTAGATAGTACTGCTTCAATGTGGTGTGGTACAGTTTGCCTTCTGTTATAAAGTTCACACACTTCTAAAAAAATATGCAAGATAATTTTCCTTTCAGCTAGCAAATGGGTTAAATTCATGTACACATCAGTAGGGATGAAAATGGAGTGGAAACTTTCGGTTTTTCCGGAGGAAATATGAAAACAGAAACGAAAATTTGCAAAATGGAAGTGGAAATGGAATTTTTTTATGCGGAAACAGAAACAAAAACGGAACGGTGTTTTCCGGTGGAACATGCATGGAAATGGAACTTTCCGTTTCTGTGAGTATGAAATTTCTGTTTTATTATACACCTATAGCTGCTTTGTAGCCCAACCACTAAAGAGAACACTATGACACAATTAGTAGAATGGATCTAAGGCCAAACTTTTACTACCACACATGTACTCAGCTTGACCTATACGCAATTGTCCGGTACTACTACAATATTATGCTAAGTTGCTAACATAATGATATTATTTTGTAGCAATGTTAACAACTCATTAAATTTGTTTGTTTTTGTGTGTATTTCTCTATAATTCAAGGGGTTTTTAAGTTCTGATCAATGCCTATTTATGTTTCCGTATCTGCTTTGTATTCGCTCCGTGTCTGTTTCCGGTAGTATCTGTTTCCGGTAGTATCTGTTTCCGTATTTATTTCCGGGGTTTTTGTATTCGTTTCCGCTTCTGCAAAAAAATATGAAAACAAATATGATAGCACTCAGTTTCGTCCGTTTCCGCTCCGTTTTCATCCCTACACATCAGCACTCAGTTTAAGTTTTGAACTGCAGGGGCGTGAGACTGCAGCATGCTGTGTACATAAGCAGGGAGTTGAGGGGCAGAACTGAAGGTAGACTCAGGTGCAGTTATCCACTCCTTCTTGCTTTCACTAGAAGAGCGTATTACGCGGTGAAAGCAAGATCATGCTGTACAGGCATGCAGCTGTGAGAAATACAGTGATGGCTCCGTCTGAGTTCTCTAGCCCTCTGCAATTACAGGTTTGGGTGCACACTCCGCAGATGATGATGGTTCAGCAGAGATAGCATTGCTCTGTGTTACATAACTATGTTCTGTCAGTCAAGTATCGTTACGATGCAATAGGCAGAGGCTTCAAAATCATCTGCGGAGTAAGCGATAGGAAGCCGTTGTGCAATAAATGTGCTCATATAGACGAACGCCGTTGGTACAAAATCTCGATCACATCGGCCCATATCATCAGCGCACATCAGAGCCGGCTTACCAATGTCGGATGTCATCGGTTTTATTACTCCACAGATGTGGGTCATCGGCCAAGAGAAAAGATGGGATAACAAATATTATGGATACAAGATGGCAGCATATAACTTTGCAATTTTATGATTTGTGATCCGGTAGATTTTTGCCATGCGGAGGGCTGATGATTCTGGCTATATGCACTGGAGTTTAAGCCATGTTTGTGAACTAATTAGATATCTATCTATGTGAATTTGGAGATACATATGTGTTTAAGATGATTTGAGAGTGCCCTTACCGGTCATGCTATGTTCTAATTTGTGTTCCTTTTTTACTTAACTGACATGTATTTTCACCATTAAATGTAATAATTACTATTGGCTGTGTTCCATAGTGCAATACACAATGAATGGGATTTTCCTTGGCATGAGATGAGATGCCATCGAATTACTAAGTTTTGTTTGGTTGTCTGTTTCATGTGTTAGTTCTGTATTGTACCAATGTTGATTCAAATGAAAATGCAGGGTACTGCAATGATGAATGTATGATTTTGGTTGTTCCATAAAATTAATAAAATATAGGACATTGAAATGTAGGGGTTGAGGTTTAGAGTTCTACTGGAGTTAAACAAATTTTACGTGAGGATCTTTATAGGTGAGTCGCTATACATAGATTGATGGGAAATATTTTTGGGGACCTATGAGAGTTTCTCTGACTCTGGTTCATGATTCCTTGGAATCCTCCCAACCATACCCATTTATGGTAAGCAATATATTTTGTTACCCTTTCAGTTATCTTTTATCAATTTTTCTTTAGTGAAATCAACTTCATCATATTCATCCGCAAAAAAAAATTCAACTTCATAAAAAAACGAGTTCTGCTTCGAGCACGCCCATGACGGTCACACAAAAGAGCCGGCAAGGAGGTAGCGCGAAGTACATGTTCGACCGCAACAACCCCCAAGCATGTGTCCCGTACCTGATGACAAGGTGATCTGAATACCACTCATGAGATGTAGGCTTGGGAAGAGGATAAGAAGAACCCATATTAATTGGTAGGGGGCACAAAGATTTTGTTTTACCCGTTGCAACGCACGAACATATTTACTCGATTTAGCATAAACAGAATTCAAAAGACATCTTTTATATTTGAGAGACGTGTGTTGCACGTGCATGCTTACTAGTAGGCCGAAATAGGAGAAGGAAAGATGGAAAGGGGAAAGGGAAGGGGAGGATTCGGCCTCCCCCTTCCTTCCCTCCCCCCTCTCTTTCCTTTCCCCTCCGGTTAATAAGGAAGGGGGCGAATTGGGGAGGACCCCAAGTAGGATTCCTCCTACTTGGGGTGCCCCCTTGGCTGCATCTCCTCCCCTCCAACCTATATATATGGGGGGCACCGCTAGAACACACACCAACAATTGTTAGCCATGTGCGTTCCCCCAGTTTACGCCTCCGGTCATATCTTTGTAGTGCTTAGGCGAAGCCCTACGCGGATCAGTTCACCATCACCGTCACCACGCCGTCGTGTTGACAGAACTCATCTACTTCCTCGACACTCTGCTGGATCAAGAGTTCGAGGGACGTGATACGTCTCCGTCGTATCTATAATTTTTGATTGTTCCATGCCAATATTCTACAACTTCCATATACTTTTTATACTATTTTTGGGACCAACATATTGATCCAGTGCCCAGTGCCAGTTCCTGTCTGTTGCATGTTTTTGGTTTCGCAGAATATCCATATCAAACGGAGTCCAAACGGGATAAAAACGGACGGAGCTTATTTTTGGAAAATTCTAGAAGAAAAATCCACGCGAGACGGTGCCCGAGGTGGCCACGAGGCAGGGGGCGCGCCTGCCCCCCTAGGCGCGCCCCTACCCTCGTGAGCCACCCGTAAGGCGGTTGACGCTCTTCTTTTGCCGCAAGAAAGCTAATCTTCGGAGAGAGAAAATCACGGCGAAGGTTTCAGGCCAATCGGAGTTACGGATCCTCATATATACACGAAACGGTGAAACAGAGCAAGAAGAGAACGCAGAAACAGAGAGAGACAGAGAGACAGATCCAATCTCGGAGGGGCTCTCGCCCCTCCCGTGCCATGGAGGCCATGGACCCGAGGGGAAACCCTTCTCCCATCTAGGGAGGAGGTCAAGGAAGAAGAAGAAGGAGGGGGGCTCTCTCCCCCTCGCTTCCGGTGGCACCGGAGTGTCACCGGAGGCCATCATCATCACCGCGATCTACATCAACACCTCCGCCATCTTCACCAACATCTCCATCACCTTCCCCCCTCTATCTACAGCAGTCCACTCTCCCACAACCCGCTGTAACCTCTACTTGAACATGGTGCTTTATGCTTCATATTATTATCCAATGATGTGTTGCCATCCTATGATGTCTGAGTAGATTTTCGTTGTCCTATCGGTGGTTGATGAATTGCTATGATTGATTTAATTTGCTTGTGGTTATGTTGTTGTCCTTTGGTGCCCATCATATGATTGCGCGCGTGGATCACACCCTAGGGTTAGTTGTATGTTGATAGGACTATGCATTGGAGGGCAAGAGTGACAGAAGCTTCAACCTAGCATAGAAATTGATGCATACGGGATTGAAGGGGGACCAATATATCTTAATGCTATAGTTGGGTTTTACCTTAATGAACATTAGTAGTTGCGGATGCTTGCTAATAGTTCCAAGCATAAGTGCATATAATTCCAAGTCAGGGATGACATGCTAGCAGTGGCCTCTCCCACATAATACTTGTTATCGGTCTAGTAAAGTAGTCAATTGCTTAAGGGGCAATTTCGCAACTCCTACCACCACTTTTCCACACTCGCTATATTTACTTTATTGTTTCCTAATCTAAACAACCCCTACTTTTTATTTACGTACTCTTTATTATCTTGCAAACCTGTCCAACAACACCTACAAAGTACTTCTAGTTTCATACTTGTTCTACGTAAAGCGAACGTCAAGCGTGCGTAGATTTGTATCAGTGGTCGATAGAACTTGAGAGAATATTTGTTCTACCTTTAGCTCCTCGTTGGGTTTGACACTCTTACTTATCGAAAACTATTGCGATCCCCTATACTTGTGGGTTATCACGACCTTTTTCTGGCGCCGTTGCCGGGGAGCAATAGTGTGGGGTGAATATTCTCGTGTGTGCTTGTTTGCTTTATCACTAAGTATTTTTTATTTGCTGTTCTTAGTTGTTTTCTATCTTTAGTTATGGATATGGAACACGAAATACCAAAAAAATTAGGTGTACTTGCTACTCATGGAGATGGGGAACCTCCTAAAACCCTCGATGCTGGTTATGTGAAAATATTATGTACTACTTCAATAATCCTGAGAAAACCCCATTCAATTATGTAATGGGAGTAACATTGGCTCAACGTGAATACTTTAGGGATTACCACTTGACACAAAAAGGGAAACTATTATGGGATCAAATTCATATATTGAAGTGGTATGCTTGGCAATTATGCGTGAGTTATGATTATACTTGTTGCTCTAGGATGAAGGCTCCACACCTTCCCTTTTCATGCAAATTCAATGATAATAAAACCTTAGCTTCTTATGCTAATGGTATATATGATTACTATGATGTGGAACAAATAGAAGAATTTGTTGCTTTTATGGGTGCTTATGAAATTGAATCTATGTGTAAAGAGTTTGAAGATTTTGATGTTGTTGTTTATAGATGTGAAATTTAGCTATCCTGAAATATTGTTATGAGAATTATGAATACAATTACGAAATTAATGCACTTATTGAGAAAGTCTCCGTTGTCCAAGAAGAGACTAATATTTTGCAGGAATCTATGGAAGAAGAAGTTGATGAAACTGTGAGCTCATTGGATGAAAAAGATGAGGAGGAGAGCGAAGAACAAAAGGAGGAAGAGCGGATTGATCACCCATGCCCACCTTCTAATGAGAGTAACTCTTCAACTCATACATTGTTTAATTCCCCTTCATGCTTACCGAAGGATGATTGCTATGATGACTGTTATGATCCCTTGGATTCTTTTGAAATATCCCTTTCTGATGATGCTTGCTATGCTTGTGGCCAAGATGCCAATATGAATTATGCTTATGGAGATGAACTTGTTATAGTTCCTTATGTTAAACATGAAATTGTTGCTATTGCACCCACGCATGATAGTCCTATTATCTTTTTGAATTCTCCCGACTACACTATATCAGAGATGTTTGCTCTTATTAAGGATTATATTGATGGGTTGCCTTTTACCGTTGCACATGATGATTTTAATAGATATAATATGCATGTGCTTGCTGCTACTACTTGCAATTATTATGAGAGAGGAACTATATCTCCACCTCTCTATGTTTCCAACATGATAAAATTGCAAGAAACTGTTTATACTATGCATTGGCCTTTACTTTGTGTGCATGAATTGTTCTTTTATGACATGCCGATGCATAGGAAGAGAGTTAGACTTCGTCATTACATGATATATGTTACCTTGTGCTCACCACTAAATTACAAATCATTGTTAATTAAAATTGGCTTTGATATACCTTGGGATCCGGGTGGATCCATTACTTGAGCACTATATGCCTAGCTTAATGGCTTTAAAGAAAGCGCTGCCAGGGAGACAACCCGAAAGTTTTATAGAGTCATTTATTTCTGTTGAGTGCTTTTATATAGTTTAAAAACAACAAAAATAAAGAGGGGAACCCAAAACTTTTTCAAAAAAGGGAAGCGAAAGTGAGAAAGACAAGCATTGTTGAAGTGGGAGCTAGCCTTGAACTTTGTTCATGCTCACGGAAACTTTGTGAATCTTAATTACAGAAACTTTTCAATAAAAATAATTATCCCCTTGTACAATTCCATTGTAT